AGTGTACAGACGTTCAACTTGAGTGTGATGATAAATTTATTTGTGGCTTTGAGTTTTGTAATGAGTATGATTGAATCTTTAGCGAAAGATATGATACGATCAATGGAGAGGCGATCAATGATAAGCTAAGATACGTGAATTCATAAAAATCTTAAAGGTATGAGCTAATAGTGATGGATATTGAGTTACACAACTGGATTCAAATTGAAGCTTTTCGTAGTGAGTTTAGGTTTGTGGTAGTGTGTTTTGTCAATGTATGAATTGGTAAGGTGAGAAATAATCAATCGCATTGAGTATGAAGCATTTGGAAGGACTTAAAAATTTCAAATAGTAAAATTTGGTTACATTTGATTGTTAATACCCAAGGGGAGTTTCACATAATGTTATGGTTTAAAGGACAAGGTAAAAATTGTCATGGGTTGTTGGACAAAGAATAAGACTTGTAAGTGAAAAAAAAATTGGTGTATTGAAAAGTTCAAGGTATTTAAAATCTCTGTCATGAGAAGAATGTAAAAAAAAGTGAAGGAATAAAGACCTCTTGTATAAGCCCTTGATTTGTAGTTGAAGAATTTATTAATTTTTTTTTTGAGTTTACATATGATTGTGAGATATGAAGTAGTACAGACTCACTAGAAATTATCATCAACTTTTCTAAAGATTGAGTTTTGCTTGGGTGACTATTAATGATGTGGGAAAGATTATATGTGGTTATGTCGAGCTAGATTGTTCAAATTATGATTGGTAACTTATTGATGTTCAACACTGTGCACCTAGATTCTACATGGATAACTAGAATTTTGAGGGGATTGAATCTAATTTGTTGATGGGATGATATAGACTATTATGATATTTTACATAGGCATTTGATGGTGAGTAAAGATTTTGAGCTTATATTATACATAAGTATTGGAGTGATCAATAGTGTCTTTGAGTTTTGGCATGGGGTATATGATGGTTTGAATGATAGTTAAAGTTTGGTATGTGAGTGGTTGTGTGATGTTGACAATGAGTGTGATTCAATTATCTTACCGAGATGGGAAAGTACTTTTATATTTGAAATTAGTGTCATTTTTTTTGGTGTGACTCGTATTTTTCATGAAAAGGTTAAATGTAAATAAAGAGAGTCATAGTTCAAAATTTTTAAAGACTACAATGTGTTTGCTAAGAATAATTTTTTTATATTAATGACAGTTTGAGAGTATGGTAAATGTCTTATATGGTAATGATGTTTGTCAGTATCAAGGATAATGACTTTAATGGAGTATTGTGAGAAGTATGTTGGATTTGATGAAACAAGTATTTGTTATATTGTAATGAGAATTTGACGGATTGATTGTGGGTGATAAAAAATCAAAGAGAGGAGTCATTTGAATGGAATGTTTGATATGGGCGCTATAGAGAAAATATATTGTGTTCTTCGATTTTGTTATGTACATTTTTATGTCGACTACCTACTTCATTTCAGACATGATTGGGATGTGATTCATTACATATATCCACGTGTGTTTCTACATCAATGGGTGAATCCATAGTGCTGGATCGAATGTATCGATCATCTTATGTCCTCTTGATAGGATAGGATCTTTAGGCAAACGTGGTTATTTCAGTCATGATAGATTTGATGTTGTTTGGGATAGTTAAAGTATACCACTACCTGCACGACCTTGCTTATGATAACTTAAAGAAGAACTTCCGCTAATACTTACAGTTATCCGACGATGTTGTTAAAGGTTATGCATTCTAGAGTGTATCACTTGTTGGGATGTTTACTTAATCATTTCTTTCATTGAGTTAGATAAGTTTTATCCTCCCTTGGTGAGTATTCAGTAACTTAAGTTCGTGGAAAGATTGTGAAGTGATTAATAAATCTTGATAAGATATGTGATGATTTGTGCATTATGAGTGTGGTGGTTGTTTATAGTTCACTTCTGGTTGTAGCCGGTATAAATTCAGAATGTTATCTTGGTTATTTAAGAAAAGACTCGTCATAATGGTTGTATTATGGTCTAATGAGTTTAACTTTAGGTTGAGTCCATGAGTTAGTCTGTGACTTGATAATCACTTCTGATTAAATATGACAAATTTTGATTCTAAAGTTCAGATCTTGGTAGTTGATCTTAATGAAATAGTCCTAAAGATGAGGTTATTACTCTAAGAGATAAATACGACTTTGAAAAATCATACCTCAGGCTTTTGATGATGTTGGTTATTATTCTTTCTTCTTCCTTATGTTTGAGGACGAACATGGTTTTTAGTGGTGGATAATGTAATGACCCGGAAGGTCATTTTCGAATATTTTTAATATTAGTGTAACTTGAGTTAATTAATCGATAGTTAAAGGGCTAAAGTGATAATTTATTTAAAACCATGGGCTACTTGACCCATATATATTAAAATAAGTTAGTTGATTTCAACATTTATATTATTATAACTTTAAAAAAAAAGGGGGAGCATGGGATGTCGTAGGTCAAAGACGACAAACACAGGTATGAACTAACCCTTTTCATTTGTTTTCCTTTTCAATTGTTTATGTTAGTAACATGCTTAAGAAATTGAGCGTTTGGAATATATATATACCAATAATGACAATAAAAGTGACATTCACTAATAATTTGGAATTTGAATCTATAAGGGGTACAATAATTTATAGGTTATGTTTGTGATATGTTGGTTTAGGGGAGCATAAAGTTAACGAGAATGATGGCCAAATTATTATCCAAATCATTAGGAAAAGGATACGATAAAGGATGAATTTAGCATATAGTTAATTTCAGGCATATATAGATTTTGTGACTCATTTTTAGGGGTCTGTGGTTTAGGTATTGCCTTGTTACTTGACTAATTTTGGATTTCTATTGATAGTTATCACATTATAATTAAGGTTTTGGTATAGTAAGATAGGTAATTGAATATTAAGAATATGATATTATATGAATACCATTCGAATTATAATATTGAAAAAAAAATGAGGACTTAACCTTACGCTTAAAACTTGAAAAATATGATTGTTAAAATGTTAATTGGCATCAAGATTTACGAATTTGATTATAAACTTGGATGAATTTTTGTATCAAGGATAAACACTTAAGTAACGTGGGTGTTGTTAATGTTAAAATCTTATTGTGGTAAATTGTTTGGATAGATTGTTCTGATTTGGAGCCCATTGAAAGGGGGGAAGACTCAAGTATCGAAAAGATTGTTCGACTAAATGAGACAAGTGGATTTCTAAACTCTTGTTAAGTGTATGGAATGTGTGTATTTCCTTGTGGTATATGTTTGGAAGTGATGGGATTGGTGATGGGTTGACTTGTCCACATTGATTAATTCTAATGATGAAGAAAAAAAAAGGATAAAAAAAGGCAATGTGATTAATTGTTTATGTGTGATGTGTTGAGAAAGGTTTGATGGCTTGTTGAATAATTGTTGATGTGATTTCATGTTTGTGTGGTTGTGAACTGTGCAATGTTATGAAAATGGTCATCTCCTCATTATTTGTGTGAACATGTCATTTGCATTATTCTGAGACATGGTTGTGAAAGTGTTATGTGCATTGAGAAAGAATGATAACTTAAAGAGGATGTACCATTTCGAGGGACGTATCGCGCGCCGCGATGGATACTATATTTCGAGGGACATATCGCGCGCCGCGATGGTTACTATTATCGAGGGTCGTGTCGTGCGCCGCGACAGATGCATGGACAGATATGTCCCCCATGGGTCCCGGACTGAGAGACAGCGGGTGTGTATCACTAGGTCAGACATGCATCATTATACTTGACATTGCATTCCATTACATTGCACATACTTATCATTAGTGAACTTGATATTGTGTTTTGCTGATCTAGTGATTGCCTTTTTGCGGAACTTGTGATTGTTGAATACTGAGCTTGTTATTGAGGATATATAATTTGTTAAAGTGTTGTTGTGGAGGATATGTAATTTGCTAAAGTGTTATTGTGGAGGATATGTAATTTGTCTAAATGTTTTTGTTGAGTTACGTTCTATGTAAACTGTGAGCTGTTAGGTTGGGCTGATGTTTATGCAGGTTGTAGTTGTGGAGGTTCGGTTGGGGGTGGTAGGAGTACCCGTATTTCATCCCCTTAGCTTGTGTTTAGAGGTTTACTTGCTGAGTACCGTGTGGTTTGGTACTCACCCCTTGCTTCTACAAATTTTTGTAGGTTATGAGCCTGGATTTTTGTTGTACTTGTCATTCTCTTCTTTTCCAAGGCTTCTTGGAGATTTGTCAGGTAGCTGTTTCCATCGCAGCAGACTTTCTTCTCCTTAATTATGATCTTGTTCTACTCTAGAAACAAGTTCATTTGAGACTTGAGTTTTTCTTTTGAATCAATTGTAATACTTTAGAGGCTTGTACAGGTGACTACCAGGTTTTGGGGGTTTTATTAAGTTACTTATCTTTTATTTCCGTACTTTATTGTAATGATTGAGTTTTAGACTAACTTGTCTTGGTGGGATAAGACGAGTGCCATCACGCCTATTTTTGGACCGTGACATTAAGTTAATAAATAGACCCAAACAATGAAATCATGTAACTGCCAACAAGCGGCTTTAGTTAAGAAAAATGGTAGGTGAAGCATATAGATTGGGTAAGAAAAGAAAATGACAAATAAGTAGCAAGAGCGTTATCTTTAGTACAACACGTGAATCATTACTTGGTGTTATATTGCTAGTGGTTAAAGTAGTAGGCGTCATAATAGACATGACAGTACATAAAATAATAAATATACTCTTTCCTTCTCACTTTATTTTTAATTAGTTTAATTCGTTAAGAAAGAATTAATTTTTAAAAAAATATTTATAATTTCTCATTTTATTTTTAATTAGTTTGATTATTAAAAAGTATTTGATTTTCTATTTATAATTTAAAATAAAAAATAAAAATTTGTATAATTATAAATTATTTTCTTAAAATTAAATTATTATTTAATAAGACAGATGATAAATGAAACTAAATTACATAAAAATTGACGGAGGAATACAATAATATTTGGATAGGTGTTAAACGTGACCTATACGAAAATTTTTCCTTAGCTGCTAAGTTTAAAGTCACACACCAAATCTTCTTCCTTTAAAATCTCATCATCAATTCATTAGTGGTAGCAGTCCCAAGCAAAAACAATGAGTTACCAGCATGTTCATGAAGGTCCCTATCCTCCACCAGGCAAGTTCAATTAACTAAGACACTGATTTTATATCCAAATTAGTTTCTATTTTTTACTAAATTTTGTTTTGTTTAACTTGATTGTTAGGTTATGCTCCACCACCACCAGGGCCAGAAGGATATCCTCCTCCAGGACAGCCAGAACCTTTTGGGTACTACGGTGAAGCACCACCACCGCCGCCACCACCAGGACCTCCCAGTTATCAGGGATATTTTAACGATCAATATCCGCCTCCTGATCACATTCACCATGATCAGCAGCCTGATCATCATAGCAGTGGCTGCTGTTCCTTTTTAAAAGGCTGGTACGTCTTTCGTTCTCTCTACTCTCCTCGATGTGCAACTCAATTTTCAAGATTCTACCATTCATCATTTGTTTTTTTACAAAAAAATTGTACAGCTTCTGGCAATTCCACATCTTTTTGTAATCACTTCCCCTAAAATAGGCCTTTTTTTGTCCGTCAAGTTTCCAAAAATAGATTTTTTTGGGACAAGTGAGACCAAAGATAAAACAAATGATCTTCTTTCTTTCGCAGTACACCTGAAATAGGAGTTTTTTTCCAAGAGAATTGACTTTTTGGAAGTGGTTAATCTAAAATTTTAAGGTTGTGGGTGTTCTTTTAAGTGGCGGAGTCAAAAATTAAAAATTCAAGTTCTGCAACACTAAAAGGGTCTTAACGCACCCACCAAGAGCCAATGAACCAGTTAGATCATCTGTTCATGGGATGATCTATGTTAATTTTATACAAATATCTTTTAATTTCTACACATATATATATTCTGAGACGAGATTAATGGATACTCGAGCGGACTCTATGTGGGTCCGCCCTTGTCGAGAGGCTTACAATTACTTCCTTCTTAACATGTTAAATCAACTATTGTGTTATAATGTGCTCTTCTACATTTCACGAGCAATAATCCAGTAGGTAGTAAGAGATGGTAATCTGGTGTGACATTACTCGTATTGACTCTGAATTTAGAGAAAAAAGTTGTGATAGGCTGTGCACTTATGTTTTTGGATGAAATGTGGGATCTTGATAAAAATTTTAGGTCGACTAACAATCCTACATTAATATATGTACAATGCATTAACTTCATTACCAACCATAGTCAGGATGGTTCACCCTTTTGCCAGTAAAAGAGAGAGAAAAGAACGTATTGAAAATCTTGGAGATGAATGCAGTTTTCATTGAACTGGTAAAAAATGAACAATTTTTCTTTTGGTAACTATGCAGAAGATTTTTAATACAATATCAGAAAGCAATAAGATGTCTTGAGGAATTTTGATGTGGTGATTTGAAATAAAGGGATGGTACTTTGGAAGAACTAACCATAGATGGTATGCCGGAAAACATTCTACTTCATAGTGATTGAGTGTTGGGTTAATGTAACTCCTCAAACCTTGAAGGCGAGATTGGCACCTAATGTCATACCTGACCGAGTGAACCAACCCGTAAGTCTCTTAATCGACAAATAGGGAAATAATTGGAGGATAGAGATTATCATCTGAACCATAAATTCTACGGCATATACACACATATCCTCAACTAAACAACTGATATCAACTGACAAACAAGTGTCACTTGTCTACAAAAAATTGTGTAAGAGGCTATCAATCGCTACTGTGGTCAGGACAAGTCCCTAACCTACCCATAAATCTTAATATCCATACAAAATCAATATACTGGACTCGGCTATCCTTGGAAGAAATGGAGGTCACCAATCTACAAATGATAGTCTGAATCTGCTAACGGGGTCTGTCAACCTATGAATCTGGAGCTGTGGCATGAATCACGGTCCCCGGTAATACGATGTCGGTACGAAATAATGTGTTGAGTATGTAAGGTAGATAACATATCCAGTGAGAATAGAATTTCTACTAGGAAGACACAAAACGTAATGACAGTAATAAAGATAGAACCCGAAGGTAATTTATAAACTGAGTATCATGAAACAACATTTAGTTCTACTTCTCTAGGTGCAGCCCATCACATCCGACGTGACATCTATAGGTACAACTTATACGTCATACATGTCTCTTTTTTGCAAATCATACTTACCAGCAAATAAGCCTCGGTGGCTACAAATATCTTTTATAGACTAACAAGTAAGTCTTAACTTATAAGCAAATAAGCCATAGTGGCTACAAATAAGTCTTTTAACAAGCAAGTCTTAACTTACCAGCAAATAAGCCTCGGTGGCTACAAATAAGTCTCGTTGGATCAACCAATAAGCGTCAGTGACTAACAAATAAGCCTCGGTGGCTACAAATAAGTCTCGTTGGATCAACCAATAAGCCTCAGTGACCAACAAATGATCCTCTACTGCCAACGAACAAGCCTCGGTGGCTACAAATAAGTCTCGCTGGATCAACAAATAAGCATCAATGACCAGCAAATGAGCCTCAATGGGCTAGTGAATGAGAATACTCCAGTATATGCCTCTTCTCTAGGTTGAAATCCTATAATTCGCAACAATTCAGAACCTATACGATGTGAGTTGTGAATCTATCTAGAAATACGAATGAATTATAGTGGGGATAAGTTGACCTTAGCTTCTTGATGCTAGAAGGAGGAAATTTAGAGTGAGAACGAGCTCCTAACTGTTAATGAAACAAAATGAGGTTGTTGCCAAGTCTTGTTTCTATAACAAAAACCCCACCCATATAGTCCTTGGCCTCACGGGGCTACCTCCCTAGGAAGCAGGGCCCTCGCCCTAAACCTTGATCCGCGAGGTCTTTTTCTGCCTCAACAGTTTGTATTAGTAAACTCACAACTTTTTACTCCGACATTTGATTGATGAACGGTTTAATTCGTGTGAAACTAGACTCAAAAACCTTCATTTGATAGGTAGTAGGCCGTCTAACTTGATTTAGATTGGGAGATACGATCATTCAAAGTAAAGACTATGTACATATTCATTTGAAATACTCTGCCACCACGAAACCGTTAACTTGCACTTTTGTTTTAAGACTCCCTTTGGCCTCTAACTCCGATTTAACATTGCAAACATCTTCATATATCAATTCTTTTATACCATCACCATTCACAACCTTATTCTGAAGCATCTCATCACCGACGACGTAAAGCGTTAGAGTTAGACCTGTAGTCAATCGACATGCTAAGAGCCCGTTTGGATGGGCTTAAAAAAATTAATTTTTTAAAAATACTTTTGAATGTGTTCAAACTTATTTTTAAAATAAGTGAATATTTTCATATTACTCAAAATCCTGATGGAAAGATTTACATCGAGTTTAATGATAAACCTCATGTTTATAATAGGAGATCATTTTTTAGTTGTAGAGATTTGCTGGATATACAACATATTTCTCCTATTAATCTTGATGTTCCTATTTACGGATCAGCTAGAAGTAGACCTTTATCTTTGCGCACTCTAAGAGCCTGTTTGGCTCAGCTTAAAAGCTGGTCAAACTGACTTAAAAGCTGGTTTTTGACTTATTTAGCTGTTTGGCAAACAACTTATTTTAAGTTAAAAAAAACTTATTTTAAGCCAAAAGTTAAAAGCTGGGGTAGGGGTGCTTTTTTATTTTTATCTTATAAGCTGTTTTAAGTTGACCACATTTTTATCTTTTTGTGCTTAATATTTTTATACAATCTCCAAATTACCCATATAACCCTAACATTTCTTTGTTCCATTTATCCCTTTTCATGTTTGACATAACAACTTCAGCACTTTTATCCAAATGCATAACTGCTTATTTTAAAAATAAGTTTCAGCACTTTTAAAAGTACTTTTTAAAACTGTTTTTATTAAGTCCATCCAAACGGGCCCTAAGTGATACTATGAGTGACAGATTAGTTGAAAGGGTAAGAATTGACCCCAAAATTAATATTGTGCAGACGAAAAATAAGTTTTCTGAATTAGAACCAACTCCATCTGAGATGGCCTTTAACGTTAATAAGACGTCAGATCTAAATTATGATGAGTCACCAAATTGATTTTAGTCCAGGATCCCTGGCAAGAAGACATATCCAAAATGTATCTCAAAAAAAATAAATGGAACAAGTTTAGAACTTGGTTTTTTGAGGCTTATAGTCAAAATGATTTAAATAATCTATCGCTAGATTTTTATGAAACTTGTGTTTTACATAATAAAATTATTTATTTTGTCCCCTGATTTATAACAACTTATTTGTCGTTATACATCAAAGATATTGAAAGAACTTTTAAAGAAAGTGATGGTTCTATTACTGAAGTCATCTATCCTCCCCAATCTCCGTTTATATTACCTAATAATACTGGGTTAACTTTTCCAGCTTTTCAAAAATTTATTCAAATTGATGTTGCCCAGATAATCATTAATGAAATTAATAATTTAATTGTTCAAAATAATTATTTGAGTTTATATGTTAAAATTTTAGGAAAACATATTAGTTCTTTAGACAAAAAATTGGATGAATTAATTATTTTGGTAAAGGATTTTCAAAAGAATCCACAAGAAAATATTGCTTCTACTTCTAAAACTCCTTTAAATGTACATACGCATATCCAGCGTCCCATTGATACTATTGATTTTAAGGAAAAAAATCTTTCAGTGATTTAGAAAGTCTTATTGGTAAGAAACTTTCTGGTTTAAGTATAAACCTCTTGATCTTAGAAATGATTTTTTAGATATTAATATTAATAAAATTGAAGGACAATTTTATGAAAATAATAATTTACTAACTTCTGATATTAATTCTAGAAGGTTTAAATATGATTATCGTAATCAATAAATTTTTTTTGGTAAAGGTGTCTATGCTACTATTCCATCTATGATGACTTACTACTACCCTCGTCCAACTCCTCAAGATGTCTTGATAGAGGAAAGAGAGTGGAATCAAACTAACACGTCATATAGTGGAAACGAGGTTTATGAATGGAATCTAGATGCTTTGACAAATCTACAAGTTTTCATTATGGTACATCGAATGTTGATGTATACGTCTATTTGCAGGCATATTAATAACAATTCTGACCATGCTACCTGTAAGATGATTATTTCAGGATTTACAGGTCAACTTCGAGGATGGTGGGACAATTTTCTATCTCCCGAAGAAAGGTATGCTATTACAAATGCATATAAAGAGAAGATAAAAAGGGAAAGAGTTACTGGCGAAGAAGGAAAGCCAGCAAAATAAATAACCAGTCAAAAGATTGAGGATGCGATTTATACTTTAGTCCTCACAATTTTGGAACATTTTAATGGAAGATTTTTCCAATTAGAATGAAACTATTAGAACTCTTCTAAATGATCTTAATAGTGTAGACACTTAGGAGAACTCAGATGGTATAAGATACTTTCCTAAATAGAGTCATGCATTTACCGAAAAGTAAAATAAGCTATTGAAAAGCCAGATTTATAGACAGACTTCCTCCTTTATTTGTGGAAAGGGTTAAGAAAACCGTAAGAGGAGATCTAACTGATATTCCCTATGATAACTACACTTATGGAAAGCTAATAGGCACTTGCACACAAGAAGAATTAAATTTGTGCAATGAGCTAAAGCTAGCTCAGCAAATCAAAAGGAACCAAATGTCAAAAAGATTTCAATTAGGAGACTTTTGTGCACAATTCGATATTGAAGGACCTTCTCACCCTAATAGAAAGAAGAAATCTCATGAAGAGGTTGATAAAAAAAGATCCTACAAAAGACGTCATCGTTCAAAACGATATATGGAAAAGAAGGAAGCTAAAACAGCTCATCGCAAGGCGACCAAATTTGCCAAAAAATTCTCTAAAAGAGATCTGAAAGACATTAAATGTTGAAAATGTGGAAAGTATGGACACATTGCTCCAAATTGTAAGGTGGAAAAACTTAAAGCTTTAGAACTGGATGAAGCCACTCATGAAAAAATTTATGAGTTATTGTATGAATCAGAATCAGAATCAGATTCTTATCAGTCTAGTTCAGATAATAATAGTAACAAATCTGATCATTCTAATCAATGTGTTAATTGTACAGGTAATACTTGTACGTGTGGACAAGATGAATTCTATAAGCTCCAGTCTCAATTTGAGGATTCAAATTTGGATAAGATCCAATCTTAATTTGAAGATTTCAATTTTAATATGATCTCTTCTGATAATGTGATAGAACTATTAAGAGAAGTTTCTGATGAAAATCTCAGAAACAAAATTTTAGAAATGACTTCTTCTCAAGTCTCTTCTTCAAAATCTTTTAAAAAACCCAAGAAGAGTGAAATTTTAAATTATAATCTTAGCCCTTATTCTTTACAAGAACTTTTTTCTCGTCTTGGAAAAAGAAAAGGCCACGAATATTGTTAAAACTAGAGATACTTTTCTTGATGATTCAAAATATGAAGTTGAAACTTTGAAAAAAGAGATTAAATCTCTTAAACAAAACTAATTGATTCATAATCACAGGATTTCTCAATTACAAAACACTGAGAATGATATTTCTCAAACTAATTTAATTAATAAAGGAAAGGAGATTGAGGAAAAAGATGAAGAGCCTCTTCATCTTATTAATTCAAAACCTATTAGTTTCCTTGGAATGATGCAAATTGTTACTGCTCATCGCTGGTACATTAAATGTACCATTTTAATCAATAATGATTTTAAAATTACTAGTACTGCTATGATTGATAGTGGAGCAGATGTTAGCTGTATTCAGGATGGATTAATTCCTTCAAGATTTTTCGAAAAAACTACTCATGTTGTTAAATCTGCTTCTAATCATGCTTTAGTTATAAAGTATAAACTTTCCAATACTTGCATTTGCCAGAGCAAGGTTTGCATCCCTCATTTTTTCTTTTTTAGTAAAAATCAGTTGCACCCTCCGATTATACTTTGAACCCCTTTTATAAATGCTATTTATCCTTTCTAAAAATTAGATGCAAAAGGATTTACAACTACCTTTAATGGTAATATCATTCATTTTGAGTTTATAACTGAACCTATCACTATAGATATTAATACGTTGATCCATTTAAAACAAAAACACATTAATTCTTTACAAAGGAAATTAATATCATGAATATTATAGAAACTCTCCAGCCAGCTAAAGTACAGGAAAAATTAAAGTTAATTGCTGGACAAATGGCTGCTGATATTTGCTCAGATCATCCAAGTGCTTTTTGGAACAAGAAAAAACATATTGTAACTTTGCCTTATGAAGATTGTTTCTGCGAAAGTAATATCCCACTAAGTCTCGCCCCTGCCAAATGAACGAAGAATTAGTGGAGTTCTGTAAAAAAGAAATTGATAATTTATTGCAAAAGGATTGATAAAACCTTCTAAATCTCCCTGGCCGTGTATTGCGTTTTATTTTAATAAAGCTGCAGAAAAAGAACGTGGTGTCCCCAGGTTAGTCATTAATTATAAATCTTTAAATAAAAATTTAAAATGGATTAGGTATCCTATTCCAAATAAAAAGATATTTTATAAAGATTATATGATGCTAATGTATTTTCAAAATTTGATTTAAAATCAGGATATTGGCAAATTCAAATCTTTAAGGAACACACCTATATAACTGCTTTTAATGTTCCTTTTGGCCAGTATGAATGGAACGTTATGCCATTTGATTTAAAAAATGCTCCATCAGAATTTCAAAAAAATTATGAGTGATATTTTTAATCCATATATGGCTTATATCATTGTTTATATAGATGATATCCTCGTTTATTCTAAAACTCTAGAATCTCATATCAAACATCTTGATGTTTTCAAAAAAGATTGTTATTCCAAATGGCTTAGTTATTTCTAATGCTAAAATGAGTTTATTTCAAACTCATATCAGATTTTTGGGGCACCAAATTTGTCAAGGAAAAATTTCTCCAATTCAAAGATCTTTTGATTTTGCGTCAAACTTTTTTGATATTATAACAGACAGGACTGTGTTACAAAGATTTTTTGAAAGTTTAAATTACATTTTCCCTTTTTATAAAAATCTTTCTAAAGATCTAGCTCCTTTGACAAATAGATTAAAAAAGGTTAATAAATTACCTTGGAATGATAATCTTACTACGCTTGTTAGAAGTATTAAACAAAAAATTAAAGCCTTACTTGTTTAACTCTTGCTAATCCAGTATGGATCAAAATTATTGAAACTGATGCTTCAAATATTGGTTATGGAGTAATACTTAAAAAAGTTAACCCTCATGATAAACATGAATATCTTGTTCGTTTTCATTCAGGTAAATGGACTAAAGCTCAGCGCAAATATGCGACTATAGTACATGAAATGCTTTGTATTGTAAAATGCGTTTTGAAATTTCAAGATAATCTTTACAATCAAAACTTTTTGATTAGAATAGATGCTCAATCTGTTAAATATATGTTTGATAAAGATTTCAAACATGATGCTTCAAATCTGATGTTTGCTAGGTGGCAGACCCAAGTAGCCCCTTTTGATTTCGAAATCCAATATAAAAAGGAAATTTATAATTCTCTGCCAGGCTTCTTATCCAGAGAATACTAACTTCCTAAACAAAGATTTTATTATGTCTTATTTTACATCTTTCTTTGATGATAAAACTCTAATTACCATAATCATGTCTTCATTTTGTCTTCATAATCATGTATAGAAAAGTATCCCTGACTATCTTACTAGGGAATATTTAACTTGATAACTTTTTATACACGAAAATGCGTCCATCCCGAGTTCTTCATCTAATGGAGAAAGAGGAAGAGGACAAGGGAGAACAATAAATACGAGCAATAATAATATTTTGGCCCAATTAGGAAAACAAAGGCTAATAGCTGCAATTTTATAGGGATATTCACTGGAGTAGCAGGAATCAATACCAACCACCCAATGTATAAAGAATTCATGAATTTCATACAAATCCAAACAACCTCAAGAAGAAACTCAGTCATCATATTCGGCAATAGTCAATGAGGAAACCACGAAAGATGTGGAAATTTATGATAAAAATGAGATAATATTCCTTTAGAACCGAGGGATCTACGCTGGAGAGATGATCCTTGACAAATAATGACAAGGTATTTTGATACAACATCATATGTTGTACCCACTTACAAATACAGGATGCATTATGAAATTATATTCTCATCAATGGAGTCTACGGAATTTCAGCACTTTTACCCAGCAAACACTAATAAAATTTTCAAAAAGTACAATAAAAAGATTGTCACCCTGGAAGAATGGGGTACAAGAACTATGCGAAAACGAGAATACACCCACCCTTAACAAAAGACTACTGCTAAATTTAACTATTGGGATTATATTGAAAGCTTTAATAAAGCTCTACTATAGGAAGATGCTAATAGAAAGCATTCACGGTTTATCGAAATCTGTTCTAATAATTTTAATCAACATATAACAACTTGGTTTTATAACTGATGGACTTTATATGGTCTTACATTAATTATTCTCCATGAAGATTACAAAAAATTATATGTTGAATGGGTCGATGTCTCACCCAAAAGTATACAATTACAGCAAGAAGATGTATATTTTCAAGGAATATCATTAATGTACTTCTTTATAGAATTCTCTATCCCTTGGATAATGAGATGGACAATAGAAGTCCAAACAGATAAATAAGGACTTCCATGTCTAAGATGGAAATTTCATAGAAAATTCTGGGGTAAATTGTTTCACAAAGATGCGGAAGGAAAGCTTCATGGCAAAGAAATAATAGACTCGATCAATGTGTCAATTGAAGTCAGTCGAAACCAGACTGAGGTAATATTAGAAAAGGAAGAAATTAGTCCTTTCAAACAAATACCCAGAAAATTACAAATGAAAAAGGGGGTAATATCTAAATTTGAACGCCTTGCTTCATATGTGGAAGAAGTTAAGAAGGATTTAGGAAAACATTTGGGTACATACGATATGTCCATAACTACGTCCAATGGCGACGAAGACAAAGGCAATTATTTAGCAGGAGAATATCAAAGTATGAATAGTACTAAGGAAATGGACATAGAAACATTTTTGCAACAATTCCGAAATAAAGTGGAAGAATCTTCCTGCACAAACAAGTCCAAAGGCAAGGGAGTTGTAATGGACTAAAACGACAAATTAGCTTTTTTATAATTCTAAACTTTTATAAAGTAATGGGACCCTTTGTCGGTTCAATAATGTAATATAGCGTAAGCACTTACGTCATAAATTTTAACATTTTCTTAGATCCTTCTCTATATAAGGATTCTTTTTCCTATTTTCTAAGGCAGGTGGCAGAGCCATCTATCCTTTTGTATTTCCCTCTCTACTCTTGTAAATTTTTCAATAAATGTCTAGTTGCTATCATCTATCGCTATCTGAGCTGTGATAAAAGATTTTTTTAAGGTATTCCGATGTTTCTAAGGTCGAAATAGTGTAGTTGGAGAATGGAAGATCTTGGCTTAGTCCGGAGTTCCTGTTAAGGCCCATGTTAAGCCATGAATAAGGCGTTGTTTGGACTATGTTGGAACCATTAAAAGATCTTTCTATCATTGGACTTCCTAACTCGCAAACGAACCGATAGTTGCATCGAAGCGATCCTTTCGTATTTGGTTATAAATGCCAATGTTTGTATGGCCGTGCGAACTACCGCCATCCTTCAAACTTGGAACTTGTTTGTAATTTTATCAGAATTGGAACTTATTTGTAATTTTGGTATCAGAGTCATGGTTGTTAGTAGTCAAAGTTGGTGTTAATCTCTCAGGACTTAAAATTATGAATATCATAAGATAACATACTACTGTTAAAAACAGTAGAAAGGAAGAATATAACATGCCCCAAAGCTTTATCTCCTTAATAGATGGACGATTCTAAGAATACAGTCCAAGGTTATATACCAAATAGGTATATTTGAAAAAATGAGATTTAAATAAATTGTTAAAACTATATAAGAAACTATTATTGTAGACTCTGATCATCGTACTTTTAGACTATTATCTGAAAGTGATCTTGTCCCTTATAGGAAAAATTATAGACTTATGCATATTGACCTGGTTCAAGTTTCTTTTAAGCTTCTTACATTAAGAGGTTTAGTAGAAAGCTTTATAGCAGCTTTAAGAGATGTAGAAATCAGAATTGGAACTTGTTTGTAATTTGGATAATAATAATAATATATAATAATAGTAAATAATAATAATAATAAAATAATATGAAAATAATAATAATAAGTGTAATAATAATAATCATATAATAATATATAATAATAGTAATAATAATAAAGAATAATAAAATAAATAATAATAATAAGATAATAAAATATTATTAATAATAATAATATAATATATAATAGTTATAATAATAATAATAATAAAGAATAATAAAAATAAATAATAATAATAAAAATATTAATACAACTACTAATAATAATAAAATAAAACAAAATAATAATAATAATAATAAATAATAATAAAAGAATTAAGGGTAAAAAGGTAATATACACGGTCAACATAAAATGACTTTTAAGTTAAAAAAAAAACACCCTCACCTAACTTTTAACTTTTGGCTTAAAATATGTTACTTTGATATTTGTCAAACACTCTAATAAATTAAAAAAACTGACTTTTAAGTGAGTTTGACCAGCTTTTAAGCCCATCCTAACAAGCTCTAAGTAAGTTTAACCAGCTTTTAAGCCCATCTAAACCGGCTCTAAGTACAACACTCCAAACACCCGAGATTTAGAGTTAATATAACTGACCTTAATATTTCCATAAAGCATTAAAATT